CCGGGGGGCGCCGGCGGCAGATCGGCCACCGAGGCGGAGCTTCAGCTTGCGGAACACCAAGGAAAATATATGGCCTCCATTGTCAAGAAGATAGCTCAGTCTTCTCCCAAGCAATAAAAGAAGTTTGCTTTTTCTCTCTTTATTCAAGCTTCTATATTTATATTCTTCTCTGAAAAGTTTCAGTTTTTATGATTTGGATTTCAGCAAATATGACCGTTGAGGTCTCTCATTGCCTTTTTTTTCTGTATTTTTCATTCAAAGTTGAAGCTTTTTTGTGTTTTGTTGATAATAATGCCCTAAGTGGGTTGTTTTTTGAAGGGTTAGGAAGATGAGAAGGCTTTAAATACCCCCTAATTTTTATGTATTTACATATCCAACCCCTTTTTATTTTTTTTTTTTTTTTTTTTTTTTTTTGGTGTTGGTGCTGCCCCAATCTTTCCTATCATACCAAAAAATATTAATGTTTTCGCTTTTGAAAAGTGAAATGAATTTTTTTCATATATAGATAAGGCGGTGTATATGTAAAAATTTAAATTTTGGTGTTAGACATTTAAATATATACGGACTGAGTGGTACGTATGTATGTACTCTCTCTAAAACACACAGAGTACACACACATTACTTTAGACGTGAAAGACCGATAACCCGTATTTGCTATTCAATGGATTCAGATGCGGTTTATGTTAGAGTTCTTCGATGATTTGAGACGAGATCCGAGTAGAATAAATTGGATTTTTCATCATCTATTACTTCCATCAATTAGATCTCATTCTCAAGTTTTATTTTTATTCGGTTAGAAATTAGTGGAGAAAATTTTCTAATAAAAATATTTTGACATATTTGTATATAAATCACAAACATATCTGTGTTGATAGATAAAATTTGTTTATAATTTGATAAGCATGGATATTATTTGTGAATATATAAAATAACAGGTTATATTGAATAAATGTAAAGTTTTTTTGAGATTGTTTTAATGATCATTTTCCAATGATATTTATATATGATGATTTATGGTTTAGTCACAGCTCTTCTTAATTATTCCTCATCTCTTGAATATCATAACTAGCTCACTAGTTGTTTTTAATCTTAAATTAATTATGCTTCAGCTCAATGGCTATCAACATGTTTATTTAGATGATTTACATGCATACCCCTCGATTCATATGTATTTGCACATCCAATACAGAAATTCCATTTTTTATGTATATTTCACCATACCTAACTGCATAGGCATGCAAGAATGTATTTCACTTTTTATAAGTTAAAAATGGCGCTTTATGTGGTCTTTAGGAAGATGAGAAGGCTTTAAATACCCCCTAATTGTTATGTATTTACATATCCAACATTTAAACTTTTTTTTTTTTTGTTGGTGCTGCCCCCAATCTTTCCTATCATATCAAAAATATTAATGTTTTCGCTTTTGAAAAGTGAAATGCATTTTTTTCGTATATAAATAAGACGGTGTAAATGTAAAAATTAAAATTTTGGTGTTAGACATGTAAATATATATGGACTGAGTGGTACGTATGCATGTACTCTCTCTCAAACACACAGAGTACATACATTACTTTAGACGTGAAAGACCAATAACCCATATTTGCTATTCAATGGATTCAGATGCGGTTTATATTAGAGTTCTTCGATGATTTGACATGAGATCCGAGTAGAATAAATTGGATTTTTCATCATCTATTACTTCCATCAATTAGATCTCATTCTCAAGTTTTATTTTTATTCGGTTAGAAATTAGTGGAGAAAATTTTCTAATAAAAATATTTTGACATATTTGTATATAAATCACAAACATATCTGTGTTGATAGATAAAATTTGTTTATAATTTGATAAGCATGGAGATTATTTTTGAATATATAAAATAACAAGTTATATTGAATAAATGTAAAGTTTTTTTTGAGATTGTTTTAATGATCATTTTCCAATGATATTTATATATGATGATTTATGGTTTAGTCACAGCTCTTCTTAATTATTCCTCATCTCTTGAATATCATAACTGGCTCAATAGTTGTTTTAATCTTAAATTAATTATGCTTCAGCTCAATGGCTATCAACATGTTTATTTAGATGATTTACATGCATACCCCTCGATTCATATGTATTTGCACATCCAATACCAAAATTTCATTTTTTTATGTATATTTCACCATACCTAACTACATAGGCATGCAATAATGTATTTCACTTTTTAAAAGTTAAAAATGCCGCTTTATGTGGTATGAGTGATTTAGGTGGTATAAGTGTAAAAAGGCAAAGTTTAGGTGGTAGATATGAAATTACATGGGAATTGGGTGATATGCATGTAAAGGTCCCTTTCTTTTTTTTTAAATTAGTTTTTGATAGTAGAGTTTCTAATAAACTCACACCGGTGATTATGACCGAAAATACCAAAGTATTAGCATCTAACATAGGTATTTATGAAATTTTAGCAAATGATGTGATGATTTAGAAAAATGTCGGACATAGGAGGATGGGGGCAGGCTTAAGCCTGCACTAAAAAATTTGATCGGTGAAAATAAATAAATTATCCAAAAATTAAGATAAGCTCAAAAAATTTCTTGAATAAAATTTTCATTTATGCCGAATTTATTAAATCTTTGCAGTGTTTTAATATTGTATAAATGTGTCATTTTTCTTAATTAAAAGCAACGATAAGAATGCTATATACTTGAGCTCATCTGTCAAAGTGACAGAATATCCTTCCACGAGTGTGTTCTAGCCCATCAAGGGAGTGACAACTACCATAGATGACCATCATGACAAGAAAAGACAGAAGTCTGCCATTCTTCAAAAATACGTCCTGACATCCACATCACGGTCTTTTCATCAAGAACCATGAATGAGTGTTGTATTGTATTAAATGTATTTTTTATTATTGTTTTCTTTTGATATAAAAGTGATGTCAAGATGAGAGAAGGGACATTCTGAATCTTTTCTCAAAGTCTCTCTCCCTCTCTCTCCCGAAAAACATAGTAATCCAAGAAACTTCCCGGGAGTCATTTTTTCTTCCTTTTCTCACGTTTCATATCAATCTCTCTTCCACAAAAGTAAGATCACCAAAGAAGCTAAAAATTTTACTTGAAAAAAACTAAAATGGGAGCAAGTAGTCTCTACTCCCTCGAGATATCCTAATTGAATAATCAACTTTGTATGTGAGGTATGAAAGTTTGCTTCTCTACAACTGAAGAAAATCATATTATAAAGTTGGGGAAATTTAGTTGTTTCCTGTGATTTTGGTGGGAGTATAGTTGATGATGATAGTTAAAAAAACAATGATCAAATGACAAAATTTATGAGACATCAATCAACCAATTATGAATGTACTTGATTAGATCATAATGATCGGACGATAACACTCAAAAAAGAAATGGTTGAATTGTACAGGTTGAGAAACGATGCCGGTAGAACAAGCAGCCGAGCAACATTGAACAACAATAATTGATGATGATGACGATCATCAATCAATATTAGATCTCTGCAACCCTTTAAATTTTAGGGCTATCTGGTTTCAAATCGAGGTTTTCATTACGTGAATAATTTGGCTATTTTTATTTTTTTTATAAAATTGATATTTTGGTTATTTTGGTCAAAATTTAAGAACGATTATGGATTAACCCATATTAATTCTTTTAATAATAGCTTATTCATTCAGTATTAAAGTATATTTATGGCATAGAATCTAAATCATATTATTTTTTTTTTATTTATTTACATCGTCGAGATTCTTGATTAGATTGCAAAATTCAAAAATTATATTAAAAATTAAAAGTTTAGCCTCACTTCAAGTGCTTGACTTGGCTCATTTAAATTCGAATGGGATCCCTTTTTTGTTTTCTTGAATTTGTCTTATTATAACATTCAATCTTACTTTAAATCATCAAACATCAAAAGCTAAACAACACTTAAATTATTTCTTCGAATTCTCAATTCAAAAATTACAATGGGATTCATATCCAATCACGTTTTATGAATGATTATCATTTGCCATATATACACGCGCCTTCTCGCCTTCGCGCGGGCCAGCGCATACGCACATATAAGGTGCCATTGCATGTAAAAGCTTGTAACCCTTCTTCAAATCGCCGCTATATTTCTACAATTTAGCCGCATTTTTATATTTACACCGTGAAATTTATAAATTATGCATGAAGATTCATTTCACATTTAAAAAAATTTATATGAATATTTTTAATGTGATGTAAAAATATAAAAATTTGACAGTTAGATATGCAAATATATAAGAATTGTGGGGCATGCACGTAAAAACTAGTAAAAAATAATAATTTGGAAAAATGTGAATTATGTTTAAGCCAATTTAACTGATACAATTCTTTAAATTATTGTCAATATTCTGAGTTTAAATCCAACGAACTTCAAATTTGTGTATATTGCTAACCATCTCAAAGAAAATATATGTTTATGATTTATACCTACAACCCACCAAATGAGCCCTCTATGTAAAATTAAAAAGGAAGAATTACATGCATACCACTCAATTCTTATGTTTTTGCATATTTAACACCTAAACTTCAATTTATATATATATGCCACCTTATATGAAAAGGTATTATCCCTTTAAAAGTTAAAATAGTGACATTTTTGATAAATATGAAAACAATACTACGCAAACAAAACTAAGTAAAGGGGGGTAGCCAATGAAATCACGCCACGACACCCCGTGCGACAGAGAAAAAAACAGCGCAATAACACGGTTAACACCTAAACTTCAATTTATATATATATGCCACCTTATATGAAAAGGTATTATCCCTTTAAAAGTTAAAATAGTGACATTTTTGATAAATATGAAAACAACGCTTCGGAAAAATATTAGAGAAGAAATACGCACGTAGAGTAACGTGTGTAGCCAATGAAATCACGCTACGACGCCCCGCGCGACAGAGAAAAAAACAGCGTAATAACACGGAATATTTCCTCTTGTGTTATTCATATGTTATTGCATGTTATTCATGTGTTATTGTGTCCTGAGAATATTATTGATGTTATAATAACACAATAACACATCAATAACACATGAATAATACATGAATAACACAATAACACATGAATAACACGGGTGAGAATATTCTCCCGTGTTACTGCCTCATTTTTTTCTCTATCAGTAATATTTCCTGTGTTATTCATGTGTTATTGTGTGTTATTCATGTGTTATTATGTCCTGAGAATATTCTATGTTATAATAATATAATAACACATTAATAACACATGAATAACACGCAATAACAAATGAACAACACAAGGGGAAATATTCTCCGTGTTACTGCGTGGCGTGATTTCATTGACTACGCACTTTACTTCTACGTGCGTAGTATTGATGTAATATTTTTTTTTGGTTTGTGCGGTAAATGTAAAAACAGAAAGTTTAGATGTTAGATATGTAAATACATAAGAATTGGGTTGTGTGTATGTGAATGCAGCAATTAGAAAAAAAATAATAATAAAAATATCAAATAAATCAAGTGCATACCCTTTCCAAGTCCCAAGAATTGATCGTTCTGATTATATGGTAAGAATGTCCCAACCCAGCAAGCCACAAAACCTCCGGTTCCAGTAAAAACTTCAAGCACTCCACTACGCTAACGAGAACTGCTGCTTATGTTAGAAACACAAACCTCTCACACCTTTCGTTTCACACTCCTTCCGCATCAAACCCTAAATCATAGATAAACTACATGAAAAATAATTTAAAAAAAAGTGTGAAAATATTACCGAGCAGAAGTAATGGCTGCCTTATTAGGCCTACTGCTGCTGCTGGATTGATTCTCATCTTTCATCTTCTTTGAAGAAGATCCATCAATGGCTATGTTTCCCAAACCTACCTCCATTGCTTCCCTTTCATCCTGCTGTCTCTTCTCCTTTTCTGAAACAACAGTTTCATCTGAAGAAGGCTGGAGTTTATCGGATGGTTGTTGAATTCTGGGACCTGGATCTAACCATTTGTGGAGGAGAAGCTGAGAGGCGGTGGGTCTCTTTTCAGGAACGAAATCGAGTATGGGTACGAGGAAATCGGCCATTTCGTTCGCATCTGGTTCGCTGAACTCATATTTTTCGATGAGAACTTTGTTCAAGGGCCAGAATCGGAGGCGATGGATGTGCCTCAAGTCTCCATGCCGGTTGAAGAACTCCCGGGAATAGCGACCGCCCAACGCGATCTAAAAGAGCTTTTATTTTTTGGCATGAGTTATGAAAGGAGTGATATAAAATGAGTAAAGTGTGAAAATAATCCCCTAACTATTTACATCAAGTCATTTTAGTCCAGAGTATATAGAAGTGTTAAATTAATTCCTGGACACCTTTGATGGAGGCTAAAATAATCTTCATTGGCGACTATTTCAACCCATATCAAAAAAGACTGTGGACTAAATTGATACTTCAAAAAATTCTGGGTCTAAATGAACCCCTACAAAAGGGTTAGGGGATCCTTTTAACACTTTTCTCGATGTAAAATAGAGTTTATTCAGCTTCTCAGTACTTACCTTGCGAGGCATCATTCCAAGCAGTTCCATCATGAGTGCTAAGTGATCCTGTGAAGAGAAAAACGGTGAGGAGTCGTTAAAACTTGGTAGAAAAGAGATACTTAAAAGCAAAATGTAAAAACAGTCAGAAAAAATATTAAATTTTGTCTTATTCTCTGTAGATATAATCAGAAGCAAGCCGATTGGTTTTTGTCACCAATGGCCTTAAGCCAATCTTCAATAGGCAGCTGAGGTAGACAATCAAGAAGCGGTCCAAGTCTGGGAAAAATAAAGCATGTAGACTTGTCACGCTAGTAGTTCTAAGGTCTGTGAACTGCAAGACAGCAAGAGGAGCGATGTCATGTGTGGGGCCGGCAAGCGGGGACTGTAGAGGAATAGACTGCAGTCCAGGCGGCAGCTAGTCGGAATGATAGTTGGCAGCAACAAGGATCAGCGCTTGGGAGTGATGCGGGAAGATCGGGGAAGGCGGAAGTGGCTGTGTGGCATAGTACCGAGGGAGCGATGGGAGGGAGGCCACCGGAAATGGGAAAACTGCAGGAAAAAAAAAAAAAAAAAAAACAGCATGGCTGCTGTCCTGGGTGGCTGCAGCAGGGATGGAGTGATTGAGAGCAGCGTGGAGAAGATGTGAAAGGGAATAGGGAAGATAATCACAATATCGGGAAAGAGATACAACTAGGGTACCACTTAAATCCTTCTCCTTGGGGAGGATACAAAGGCAAATGCTCTTAATAATCAAGTTCCTCGGGTAAATCACTCTACTCATTCTCCTCGTCTCATATACTTTCACACCAGCTTCTCCTTACTTTCCCTGGTGCTTTATAGACTCCCTTTGAGGGTGCATTGGTCATTCTGCAACAGCAAAAATGGCGGGAGAGCTTCCTGCATGGTATGTGCTGGAGATGCCTGACCGGTTGTGTGATGAGCTGCAGCTGTGGTAACCTCTGTATACCCCCTCTCAAACTGAGTATCCAGTAGTTGGAGCGTCAGTTTGTTTGATAAAGGGCGATGTCTGGACGCTGGGAGGAATTTGGTGAAGATGTCAGCGATTTGATCTTGAGACATTATGTGGTGTAGGAGAACCTTTGCATGTTTAATGCGGTCTGTAATCTACCTTTATGTGTTTGGTTCTGGCGTGATACATAGGGTTGCATGTGAACGATGGCAGAAGCGTCGTCGCGGTATAGAACTGTGGGCGGAAGTGGTGTTTGGAGGAGTTATTGTAACAAGCTTCCGAGCCAGAGAATATCCGTGGTGACTAAGGCTAGGGCACGCTATTCTGCTTCCGTTGAGAATTTGGCTACAGTTGGTTGTTTCTTGGCTAACCCGGAAATAAGATTAGGTCCGAGAAAGATGCAGAAGTTGGTGATGGAGAGTTGGCATCGGGGTTGGTGGCTCGGTTTGCATCTGCATTGGCCTGGAGAGTGAAGTCCCCTGAGGTGATTGGTAATCCATATTATCATGTGCCATTTAGGTATCTCAACAGTCATTTGAGTTGTGTGTGGTGTGTGAGTGGTTGGTGCATATGTTGGCTAAGGAAGTTTACTCTGAATGTGATATCTGGGCGGGTTAATGTGAGATATTGAAGTAAGACAAATATACGTCTAGAAGTAGTTGGGTCGTCTGCTATGGGGGAGTTTGTAGATGGGCTGGTGGAGGAGGGAAGAGGGGTGATGAAGTGTTTGAAGTCAAGCATGGTTTGTATGGTGAAGGATGTCAAGTAGGTATTGGGTTTGTTCAATGAAGTATCTAGTGTGTGTGTGATAGATATTAAGGCCCAAAAAGTGAGAGATGAGAACTAGTTCCTTGATGTTGAACTGTGTGTCTAAATTGTGAAGTAGAGATGTGATGAAGGTGGAGAAGTTACCTATAATGAGTACGTCATTTACATAAATGAGGAGGAACTGTGTGCATATGAAAAGTGAGTGATCTGTTGTGCTAAGGGTGAACTTTAGATTGCAAAGATACTGGCAAAATGTGAAATACCATTGTCGAGTGGTCTGTTTCAGGCCATAGATGGCTTCGTTCAGTTTGCAGACGAAGTCCTAATGTTGGGAGTCTTTGAAGCCTGTGGTTGTGTCATGTATATGGTGTGTTCTAATTTGTCTTGTGAGAAAGCATCTGAAATGTCTATCTGTTGAATCTCCTAGTTTGTTTGTGGTAGCTCTAGTTAGCAACATGCGAATGGTTGGAAGCTTGGCTACGAGGCTGAATGTTCAATGATAGTCAATGTCATATTGTTGAGCGCATCCTTGAGCTACAAGTCGAGCATTATACCTGGTTATGGAGCCGTCTGAGCGATACTTGGTTTTGTATGTCCATTTACTGCCGAGGATGGTGTGATCTTTGGGTGTAGGTATGAGGGTCCAGGAGCCCTATTGTTGCAGTGCAATAAATTTGAGAGACATGGCTTGCCACCAGTTGGAGAACCTGCTGGCCTGGGAATATAAGTTGGGTTCTTGAGAGGATGTGGTGTGGCTGAGTTCAAGTAGTTGTCTGGGTTTGAGAGAGTCAGTTTGTTTGTGTGTTTTATCATGTGGTGGTGTTTGGGGGTTGTGGTAGGAGAGGCTTGTGATATGGGTGGAGTGGGCGGAGTTCGATTTTGAGGTGCTGTGTTGTGATCGGTTTGTTGTGTGAATCTGGACTGGATGGATGAGTTTGGTTGGGTTTCTTGTGTAGTATATTTCTGTAGTGTGGACGCGAGTATAAGGAAACTCCGTGGTGGTGTGTTTGAATGAGTTGAGATGGGATTTTTTTGATTTATAAGGGGAAGGAGGTATCTATGAAGGTGACATGTCTGCATATGATGAGCTTGTGTGTGTGTCCCAACAATTGTAGCCTTTGAGGTGTGCGATATGGCCAAGGAATATGCATAAATGTGATTTGGGTTGTAGCTTATTTTCCATTCTGGGTTGCTGCCAATGGAAAGTAGGCGCAACCAAAAGTCTTGAGGTGATCATACTGAGGTTTTTGTTTATGAAGAAGTTCCTATGGTGATTTTGTTTTGTTGTGGCTAGAAGGGAGTAAGTTGACTAAGTAGATGGCAGTGAGGATGGCTTCAATCCAGAACTGTTTAGGCAGTTTGGCTGTGTGAAGTATTGTGTATTGTTTCAATGATGTGTTTGTGTTTAAGTTCTTCCAGGTGGCTCTGCTCTGGTGTGTATGGGCAGGACATTCGATGTTTGATGCCATGGTTGTTGAGGTATACTTTAAGATGGTGTGAAATTTCCAAGGACTTTGATGTTACTGTTGAAGTGATTGAGAAGAAACTTACGCAAATGAATGTAGTGTTGGCTTGTTTCTTATTTATGATACATTGGAAAAAGCCAACAATATCTTGAGTTGGCATCCATAAAAGAAACATAGTAGCGATATCCATTAATAGAACTTATTGGGAAGGGACCCCATTCATCAGAGTGTAATAAATCTAATACATTATATGAAGAATTGATTTTGGGAAAAAATGAGTTTGTGGCTCTTGTTCTAGTGGCATGTTGGGCAAGCGGCCCTGGGTGTGGAGATTTTGAGGTGTGGGTTGTCTCTAGAGATTTGGGAGAGCACCTGGAGGTAAGGATGTCCAACTGGATGATGTCAGATGAGGAGGAAAATCGAGGAGTGTAATGCAGAGATTGTGTAGAAACCTTGCTAAGATGGTCCTGTGAGGAGGTCTTCTGGGTTGTTCGACCTTGTATTGAGTAACTATTAACATCAAAAGAGATGAGACAATTGTTGTCTTAGATAAGTTTTTGAACTGAAATGTGGTTGTGTGACAGTTGAGGAACACGATCTAGGGAGGATGGTTCAAGCTTACTGTGGGGTAGGGCTGTAAATGAACCAATGCACTCGATGAAACACTTGAACTCGGGTCTGAACTCGGGTCGATTAAGACTCAATCATGTTCATTCAAATTAGTAAATAAACAAACTTAAACATATTTTAAAAGCTCGAAGATTAAATGAATTAAACATGAACATAGTCAAACTTGTTCATTTATGTTCACGAACAAACTCGTTTGTTGTTCAACAAGTAACTTGTTAAATATTCGATATTATGTTAAATACTCAATATTAAACTCAATGATAGCTCGCATCATATAAGATACATTATTTAAATAAAATTTAATTAACTAGAATATTAGCTCGTTTGTTGATAGCTCGATGATAGCTTGTATCATATATGATATATAAATACTCCATATTAAGTTTTTGTAGGTTTTAAAGTTGTCATTTCTAGTTGTTTGGTAGGATTTAGGTCCATTTGCCTAAATGCTTCACAAACCATTCTACTAAAGAACCCCCCAAGGGAGGGATTTAGCGCAAAATGTTGGAGAAACGAGATTTAAGATACTATATGGTTTAAGTTTTTAATCATTAATTTAAAAATTGCGAGCAAATTTATAAAACTATTTATTGAATTTTTTATATGAAAATTTAGATATTCATTTGAATTTTTAGCTCCTTTAAATACCTGTTCACATGCCATAAACAAATCAAGTTCAAATATTGAAAAATTTAAACAAGTTAAGCTTCAACAATATATGAAAGCCCAGCACAATCTAAAACTGAATATAAACAAGTTATAATTATACCAAGTCACGTCCTAACTATGATATACTCGGCTCGACTAAGCTTGATTACAGCCCTAGGGGCGGGTAGAATGCCTGAAGCTGTGTGGGAAATCGTGGAAGCTTGTCCATTGTCTACCATGACTTGTTCTTGGCCTTAAATATGAGCTGGATAGTCTGACATTTTTCAGATGAGGTGTGAGGTGTGAGGTTTGAGGTGTGTCGTGGCTTTAGTGTCAAATATCCAGTTTTGAGGGGATGAGTTGTTGGTGGTGGTAAGTGTTGTGATTTGAATTGTGGGAATGAGTTTGTTTTGGAGGTTGCCAAGGTGCCATTATCGTGTTGTTGAGTGTCCTATTTTGAGGCATATCTGGTAGGTGACAACTGATTTGGATTTGTTTGTGGTGTTTTGGTACTTGTTGTGGGTGCGCTAGTTTTTTTGGATTTTGCTTGTAAGTGGGCCGTTAGTTTTTGGAGTTTTTGGTGC